GGGAGGTATGTTTTCGGCAGAGGGAACAGCCAGTGCAAAGGCCCTGGGGCGGGCACTCTTGTGTGGCAGGGAAGGTAGGCCAGTGAGCAGGCTTAGGGTGAGCCAGAGGGTGGAGAAGGAGCAGAAGCTACCGTTGGACGTCACTCCGGGGGACACAGGAAGCCACAGGGGGGTTTGAGAAGACGGAGGGTCAGATCTGTGCGTGGACAGGATCGCCTGGCTGTTGAGTGAGGACAGATGTAGGGGCAGGAGCAGAGGCCAGGAGAGGGTCTGGCCGATGCCAAGCACGGATAACCGGGAGGCCGGGGCAGCGCTGCGGGAGAAGGGTGTTTCCCACGTTGAGGGTGCGGTGTCCGTCAGCACCGCTGGTCCGCAACGCGGGGGAACGCAGCCCCGGCAAAGGCAGGACCAGCCTGTGCGCCCGCCCACCCCGCGGAGTTCCAGGGGGCGGAGCTTGAGGGGCGGAGCGTGGGCGGTGCTCCGAGGGCGGAACACAGGGCCGGAGCTCGGGGGCGGAGTTCCAGGGGGCGGAGCTCTGGGGGCGGGGCTGCTGTTTTCCTCCTAGTGCGGTCCGTGTCCCCCGCCGCGCGCTGCTGCGACAAGAGGACGCTCTAGCTGTTCTCGTGGGAAGAGGCCTCCGCGTGGGCTTGGGCTCGCGGGGGGCTCTGCCGTCCCGCCTGGCGTCTGGGGATCGAGCGGGGCCGCCCGCCCGGTGCGCGTGTTGGGGCCCCGCCGCCAGCGCCCCCCCCGCCGGCCGCCCCCGCGTGCGACCCAGGAGCAAGGAGGCCAGCCGGGCTCGCGCCTTCCTGTCTGCTCTGCTGTCCTTTCCGGGGTGTCCGCCGTCCCCGACCCCGCCGACTAGGCCGGCGCTGGGAGCTCGCACGGGGCTCCGGAGCAGCCCTGAAAGCCAGCGCGGACCGCCTGCCGCCCGCCGGCCTCCCCGGGGGTCAGGGTTTCCGTGTGTCCGGCCGCTCGGGAGGGGAACGCGCGAGGCCCGCCGCTGCCGGACGCTCCCCGAAGCCGAGCACGGGGACGGCGCGCACCCGGTCCAGGCCAGTGGCCGCGAGGGGCGTCGCGCTGGCGCAAGCCTCCTGGGGCGCTGTCGGGGAAACCTCCTTCTCCGCTGGAGGGTCTCGAGGACGACAGGACAGTCCTGCTCTTGCTCCTAAAACCCCGCGAGGCCACGAGACACTTGTCCCACTCGTGTCAGGACACATTTCAAGTTGAGGAAGCGGACTGGCGAGGGTCAGCACGTGGGGACCGGGAGCCTGTAGTGGGGTCCCCAGTGACCCAGGGATCTCCGCCAGGGTAGGCAGCGGTGGGTCTGAGACACCCGTGGCACAGTCACGGGGGCGGGAGTGGAAAGCTGTCCTCGCAGGGCCGGTCGCTCTAACCCACTGTAATGGGGGACGTTCAGGGAGCGTGCAGGGGAGTGGGTCAGCGGCAGGGCATCTCTGACTGGGCACACAGGAGACACCAGAGCCCCCTCCCCACCTTAAGGAGGCCTCTCCTGACATGTTAGTCATGTAAAAATGCTCTGTCTACACAGCTCTAATTAGACACAGTGGCAATTCCGTTTGTGGATTTTGGCTTTGTCAAGACGGCTCGCTCTGCCACCCAGACGCTGGCTCCGAGGTCATCTGCAGCGTTTCTCCCCCAGGATGCTGCTGTTCCCTGGGGCGTGGGGATCAGTGTTCTCACAGGGAGACGAGGGGAAAGGTGCAGACTTGTGCAGGTGTCTTGTGGGGAAACATGACCTTTCTGCAGGGCTGGAGCCCTAGCGCCTGGGCCCAGTGGCCTGACGGTCCACCCGCTGGTGGGACAGCAAGCCATCTTGTCCTGCCTCTATCAGCCATTCACACTTTAGTATAAAATTTTGGGTATGATCTTTCATGGACTGTGGCAATCTAGTATAAAAGTCGCCGAAGAGTGAGGACACCTAGGTTGGAGGGCTCGGTAGCTGTGAAGCAAAAGTCAAAGCAAATATTGATCTCTTTGAGCTCAAGGTGGCAGGGGTCACAGCTCTGTTTCCCTGCCCCTGGGTCTGCCCATCTGCCGGTCCTGCCCTTGTCATGCCCACCCTTCTGATATTTCCACACATTTCTTGAGCTGCTCCAGTGCCTCAGGCACCCAGCCGAGCACTGGGCAGTCAGTGGTGCCTGATCAGATTGGGCCTGCCCTCCAGAGCTTGTGTCGGGAGGGGAACTCGCAGTAAAGGAGCCAACAAGCTCACGTGTGGTCTCCTCTGAGCAGGAGGAAAAGAACCTGCCTGGTTCAGGGAGGAGGAGGGCACAGGCCCCAAGTAGAGTGATCACGGAGGCCTCCCTGAGGGTGATGTTTGGTAAGACAGGAAGAACTGGGGCCTCAAGCACCTGGGGACAGGAGAGAGGCCCAAGGAGGCAGTGGAGGGGTAGGCCGGTCCTCAGCACTGGAGGAGTGGGAAGCTGGGTGGGGGCTGCAGGCGGCATAGGAGCCAAGGTGCCAGGGTGCCTGGCACGTTTCCGGCACTGGCTCCCTCCTGCAGACCCCCTGCCGCTCCTTCTGTCTAGGGACCTTCGCTTCCCCAGTTGGGGTCCATGCAGGTCTGGTGCGCACACAAGGCTGTGCCACGGGACGCCAGCAGCGGCAGGGAGTGTCCACCAGCTGTCTCCGGACAATCACAACCTGTGGTCTGCGGACGTGCTAATTAGCGCAGACAGCTTGTGTCTAATTATTTCACTTGACTCGTTTAAGATTCAGAGACCATCTGCTCTGGGAGAGAGGAGGGGAGGGGCAGCTGGCGAGGGGCCCTTGGCCGCTGAGCAGACCCTGAGGCAGCTGGCCGGAAGGAGAGGCCCAGGCCCCTGGGTGGCCCCTGGGTGGCCCCTGGGTGGGACCCCGCCCGCCTCTCTGTCTCGGGCGCCTGAAGTCCGCGCTCGTGAAATACTGAACAGAAGCCCTCTGTGGAGGGCGAGGCTTCGCTGGGGCCGGAGTCGGGGGCCGGGGGCGCGCGCGGTGTCACCAGCACTGAAGCCTGGTGGAGATGGTGGGGCCCAGAGCTCTGAGGTCCGGGCCCTCTGGTGAGAGAGCCCGACTCCCCCTCCCCCGCCCCCTGCACGACGTCCTGCCCACCTGCCTGTCTGCCACCCGCCGAAGGCTGAGAACATGGGTGTACCCCGGGAACCCCAAGGGGAAGACTGGCCCTCCTTCAGCCTCTCGTCACAGTTCAGGCAAGCCCATGAGCATCTGTGTCTCTGGGGGCTCTTTGAGGCCGGCAGCCCCATGGGAACATGGAGCAGAGGGCCACCAAGGGTGGGTCCCGGGACGCTGCCCAGGCTGCGAGGCACCTGACACGTGGCTGGCAGAAGTGAAGACCGATTCTACGTAATGGTAAAGCCTGAAGTTTAAATGACTGTGCGTGGCAGGGGGCTGCCCAGACCCCGCTCTCGCAAGGCCGCCTCCTGATCATCCCTGAGTTCGAAGATGCCCATTACAATTAGGAACCCCAAGACAGGCGGGTCAGGCCTCTAGTGTCTCCCCCAAATTCATGTCCTCCTGGACCTCAGAATGTGACCCGATTTGGAAATAGGGTCTTTGTGAGTTAAGGTGAAGTCACGTTGGATTAGGATGAACCCTAAGTCCCATGACTGGTGTCCCCATAAGAAGAGGGGACACAGAGAGACACCCAGAGAAGACGTGCGGCCCGGAGGCAGAGGTTGGAGTGAGAAGAGGGAGAGGGACAAGCAGACTCCCTGCTGAGTGTGGAGCCAGCCGTGGGGCTCAATTCCGGGACCCGTGAGTCACGACCTGAGACAAAGTCAGATGCTTAACTGCCTGAGCCACCCAGGAGGCCCGAGGTTTTTGACTGAAGGAAGGACCCTGCTGAGCGGTGTCTGTGACTGCCTGTGACAAGTTGCGTGTGTGCTGCCCGTCACTCGAGAGAAGTGGGTGCCAGTCATTCCTCCCAAAGGGCAACAAATAGGACCAGTTCTACCAGCCCCCAAGGTTCAGAGCCAGGTCACCTCCTCTGAGGAGCGGCTGGTACAGGCTCTGCAAAAGAGCCCCCAGCAGGGGAGTGAGAAGCACAACTTGTTTGCTCTGAGCTCAGCCAGGGTCTCCTCCCAGTGCTGGGAGTCAAGTACTTTCAAGGGTAAACTGACTCACGTACTCTTTAGAGCAGACTGGCCTCTGGTCACCGAGCAGACAGGAGGCCATCACGGAGGCGCTGAGGCAGGAGAGATGACACTCCTCTGGGAAGTGGAGAGCGCTCAGAGCCGCCAGCTGGGGACTTTCAGCGGAGCTGCTGGTGACCCTTCTGGGGGTCCCGGAGGCAGGTGACTAGGACCGTGTCATTGACCCAGATGGGAACATGTGGCCCAGTGCCTGGGCACGGCCCTGCACTCGGTGGGCAAACTCCTCTCCGGCCGCCGCAGCAGCAAAGCCTCTTCATCCTGCCTTCTCCTGAGGGTCTGGCTCTGGGTGGGGTGGACACTGGGGTCCACACGGATGGGGTGAGGGAAGGGGGTACAACACAGGTGCTGGTGAAGCTGGGAAGGCCTTGTCCCTGGCACCAAATAAGTCACTTTGGCTCTGACAGTTCCTGGCCCGAGTGGAAAGTGCCACCCCGTCTGTGTGCCCCGTGTCATCAGGGCGGGAACACCAGCATCAGACGCAGTACGGGTGTTCCAGGCAGGGGTGGGTCCTCGCGCTCCCAGTTGCTAACGGCCCCCAAACCTGGGACCCTGCTGTGGTCGCCTCCTGAACAGCACAAGGGTCGGACCTCGGCCCCACTCACACCAGCCGTGCCTGCTGGGAAACCGCGTGCAGGACCTGCTCCCAGATTCGCTCAAAGGGCTGCGCCGAACACTTAGGAACAGCTTTGTTGAGCTCTTTTCTCTGGGCCCGACGCTGCAGGAGACAGGCCTCCAGGGGACCCAACCTGGGCTGGGGTCAGTGTCTCCCACACGGGCTGCAGGGGCAAGGCTACCCTCCCCCGGTCCCCACAATGCCCCCCACCTCACCTCTCGGTCCAGGCCAGCTGCCACGGTCACAATGTCCCCTGTCTCGCTGTTGATGGTGAACATGTTCTGGGACGGGCTCTGCGGGGTCTGGGTCACGATGCGGTACCGCACCATCCCGTTGGCCGTGGTGCTGTCGTCTGCGTCATTGGCCGTGACAGTCATCACATAGGTGCCTGGGACAGAGAATGCGTCTCAGACAGGAGCATCTGCTGTGTCCACCGTCGCCTCCACGCACACACCCGGGGCGGACCTCGCCAGCCGATCCCAGTCTCTCAGGGGATGGGGTCACCGTGCACCCTTCCCACAGCCCACATTGTTGGAAGAGGGGCTAGAAAGCAAACCTGCCGCCCCTACTTCCCCAAGGGGAACCTTCCAGAGCTCAAGGTCCAGAGCATCGGGACTGGGGCCCAGAGAGGAGGGAAGAGCGCCACGGGCTGCGGGATCAGCTTTTCCGGCTGTGAACGCGGCGCCCTCTCCCCTGAGCCACAGGGTTCAAGACCCGGCTCTCAGTGTTTGCCGGGGCTCCGCCGAGCGCACGTGGGGTGTGGTGTGGCAGGGACGTGGAGGCTCCTGGAGATGGAGCAGGGTCGGGCATGGGGCGGCTCTCCGGAAGGCAGGGAGTACGTGATTGAGGGACGCACAGAAAAGGAGCTGACAGGAGTCCCCAGAGGGGAGGCTGTGCACACGGCGTGGGTGGGTAGCGTACGTGCAGGGGTGCCCGTGGGACACGTGGCTGTCTGCGTTCCAGAGCCGCCCCACAGCTCAGTGTCTGTTTCCCTGACCACACGCAGGGCTGAGCTCTGTGGTGGCACTAGCACGGCCCCACTCTCTGAGGGCGGCACCTGCAGGTCCCGTGGTGTCCACCCTTCCCTGCCTTGCGAGGCCCTGGTTGGGTCAGCACATCCTCCCCATGGCCACAGTGATCGGTTTAGCTACAGGCACCTTATCCATCACAGTCAGCAATAACCACGTTTGCTGGGATTTCTGGGAATCCAACATGCTGTGCCTGCCCCTGGGTCTGCCAGGGTCAGTGAGTGAGGTTGGGGACGATGGTCACTTTCTGGCCACAAATGAAATGGCTGAAGGACAGGGCCATCTCAGAGCCTCAAGAGGGACTCAGGTGACAACTTCTCCCTAGGAAGCCCCTGGATCAAGCTGCACCTGAAGCTATTACCTAAAGATTTTTAAATAAGCAGACTTTTTTTTTTTTTTAAAGAACAGTTTTAGGTTAATGGCAAAATTAGGGGAAGTTACCTTATAGACTTTTTGTATAATTGAGCCCATGACTTCCCTTTGCACCTTATGCCATTTTAATTTGAGTTTTTGTCACTTGCAACCCAGTGTTCTGACTCTGCCCTGTTCCACTGGAGTCTTGGGTCTGGAGGCCCTTGTCCTGAGCGAGTGTTTTTAGTTCAGTTCCCAGCTCAGAACAATGTGCTGTCCGGGGCCCTGCAGGGGCGCGGGGAGTGTGGACACCTGCCTTGAGACAATCCTTTCTTGGGAGTTGCTGTCTGAAGCTTGGGCTGAACTGGGCTTGGGGTTTCAACTGCGCAGCTCGGCCTTCAGGCCTGAGAAGGGGATGGGGAGGGAATGGGAAGGGGGAGGGGCTCTACGCACCCAGAAACCCCGTTTCAGCTGGGCCTCAACTTCCTCATGAACTCCTTGACGAGGTCCCTGTTCCCAACACAGTCCCTGACTGGCAAACCGGGGAATCAGTTTCGGGGGGCGGCGGAGTATCCCCAGAGCTTTAGAATCTCAGGCTTGGCGTCAAATTTGGGGCCTTCTGAGAGAAAGTTCTGGAGACAGAGTGTGTGCAGGCTGGATGTGGCCGAGGCTCTTGGTCTCCAGAGCCCGCCCAGCCGGTCTGCGTCCCTCGCGACGCCCTTGGGCCCCGGGCGTGCAGGACTCGGGTCTGAATGTCCGGCAGCAAGACTGGCCCTTCAGTTTGGGGCTCGTCCTAACATCACCTCACGTGCAGGCGTCCAGCTTGCTCACCGCCTTCAGGAATCTGCTTTTAAAAACCAGACGAGAGACTTCCAGAAATTCTTTTCTGATTGCGGAAATGAAACACACCCGCGGAGCCCGGCGCGTTGTCACGGGAAACTATCAGCAGGTACAATGGCGGAAAAGCCGCTGGGGACCCCGCCGGCTGACGCACCGGCCGTGGCCGCTCGGCTCAGGCTCCCGTCGTGGAGCCTGAATCTCAAAACTTTACCGCGGACACACGTCTGGCTCCTTCTCATTGAAACAACAACAACTTTATTACTGATCCAAGAAATGAAAGTCAGGCATTTTCAAGTTCCAGAAAGGCAAACACTCTCTAAAAATAACAACGCTGGAGACTGGCAGGGAAATACGGGGAGGGGCACCCCCGCCCCCCACAGCGTCCAGGCAGCTCACGGCCTCTGCTTCGGGGTGGTTCGCCGTCTAGACCCACATGCCTTGAACACGTGTCCGCCTGACAAATCCACTTCTAGGAATTCGTCCTGTGGGAAAATCACCGAGGTGCGACGGAAGATTGGTCTGCGCCCCCAGCGGCCGTGCTGGCTCGGATCCTGAGAGCAAAGCCCCAAATCCTCCATAGATATTTATTAAATACCCACCGCGGGCCAAGCACCGTGTTCAGCAACGCACGTCCGCGTGCAAAGCAGATGAACAAAGTCCCCGGTGCGCGGGTGGGTGTGACTGTTAAATCCCGGCATGAGCCCTGCCCCACCCCGGGATGGAACATTCTGTATCTCGATTTCGTCAACCCCAACATCCTGGCTGGGATATTGTGCTGTGGTTCTGCCAAGACGTGACTGAGAGACGGAACACGCACCTCCCGGCAGCCACCCCGTGGCAAAGACGGAACGCTAGCCCACCGCCCGCGGGAACCAGCGGGGGAGGTGGCAGCTCCCTGCAGGTCAGGCCTGGAGGAGGTCAGACCCTGTATCTCTAGTAACAATCCAGGAAGCCAAACAGTCATCCCGCAACCATTGGCCCAGAACTGCGGGGACTTGATCAGCAACTGAGAGCTTCCGTAGTTTTCATCCCGGCTTCTGACTCAGGACCGGCCAGAGGAGTGTGCCTCCAGCCAGTGACACGGGCCGCCCACCTGCCACTCGCCCAAGCCCGCAGCCCCCCCCCCCCCCCCGGGCACAGCCGAGCAGCCCCTTTCCCACTGCGATGCCCTTATCCGGCTCTGGATCAGCAGAGCTCCGGGGGGTGGGCTTTGCTCATGTCCACGTCACCGTCAGGGGACCGAAGGGTGTGGGGGCTCTGTCCTCGGCCGCACTCGGGGTGCGCATATACCGCGATCTCCAATACGAACCTCATGTGGAAGCCCCTGACCCGGGAGGCCCCTGTCCGGTGGTGAGGACAAGCCGCGGGCATAATTGGTAAGTAGACGATATTAACCGCAGGACAGCGGGTGTTGCTTAAATAAATTATGATGTTGTTATAACCTCGTGATCATGGACTAGCGTGAAGCCATTAAAACGTTGTAGAAGGACAGTTTATGGTATTTGAAATGTTCATGACAAATGTGCGGCTCACTGGAAGAGAACGAGGCCTCTAGACAGTTCAGCGTGACCCCAGTCTCTAGAGCAGCAACGCACTTATGCAAAGGAGGGGAGGCCAGAGGGCGTGTGGCGGGCGGGCCCTTGCGGGTGCCGTACCGCATGTGTTTCCCTCTGGGATTCTCTCTGTATCCTCCACGGGTCCTTCAAAGGCTCTCACTCGATTATCAGAAAGTAAAATGTTACCAAAAAAAAAAAAAAAAGGAAAATAGAAACTAAGAAAAAAGGCAACTGAGAAACAGAAGATGTGATTTTGTGTTGAGAGCCTACATCACAACTTGGTTTCTCCCAAGAAGGAGCGATTCTGAAAGCCCGGCTGTACCACCATTCCATGGTCAAGGAGCCAACGCGTGTCAGTGGGGCTCCCTGCCATGCATGGGAAAGGGACCAGGTCTGTGGAACAGCAGAGACGAAATAAGAGCTTTCAGGGTCCCAGGGCAGAGCTGGGGCCAGAGGAGAGGGGAAGATGCAGGAGGAATTCCTTTCTGAGAGCCTGGAGGGCCTTCTGGGGGAGGTGGCCTCCCTTCCTCTCTGCACATAGTCTAGACCTCACTTGTGTGCACCCACCCAGCGGGCACAGGATGTGTGCTGACCTGGGGCCAGGTTCTAACCTGGGTTGCACCCTGCCTGCGGCCCTGAGCTGTGGGTTCCCTTGCCGCTGTCTGCCCCTGACACATGACGGTTTCCCGTTCAGACTCCTGTTCCGGCTTTGGTCCCGGTGTTCTTTTCCCCGAGGCCCGGTGGTCCTCACAGCCTGCGGTAGTCTCTGCGGCCTCCTCCGCACCCTTCCGTGCTGGGGTTTGGGTGGATGAACCCCGTGCCCAGCCCTAGAGCTCGGGCCCTGACCGGCAGTGGCTGATGGCCATGACCTTGTAACCCTCCTACAAGGCTCGGTAGGGTGGGTGGTCTTCCCTTGGGCACAGGGCAGGTGCAAGAGGGCTGGGAAAGTGTGCCAGGCCAAGGGCACGGCTCGAAGCAAGAGAACTTTATCATCTCTCAGTTCTGGAGACCAGAAGTCTAAAATCAAGGTGTCAGCCTCAGTTGGTCCTAACCTCTCCTTCTTAAAAGCGTCACCAGTCCTAGTGGATCAGAGCTCGTCCTAACTAATTATGTCTGCAAAGGTCCTCTTTCTCAGTATGGCCGCATTCTGAGGTTCTCGGGGGACCCAAATCTGGGGGCCACCATTGTACCCAGTACAGGGATTAAGCTGGGGCTGAGGTGGGGGCGGCTGACCCCTGGCTAACAAGGCACGAGTAGAGAGACCTTTTCCAACCAGATGCCTTTCTGTGGCCTTGGATGACTTCTGAGGCCAAGCTGGGCGCAGGGTGGGCCTGGGAGGGCTCTGTCCGGATCAGACCCCGGCTGCCGCATCATCACTGAGCTCCCTACAGTCTGGGAGTCCTCTTCTGGAAGGTGGGCATCCGCTGTGGGGTCCTGGGGGGAACAGAGGAACTGCCTGGGATCTGGTGTCTAGGGCGTGAGCCGGGCCTGTCCCTGAGTGGCTGGACGGTGTGGCCCTGGCCTGCAGGGTGGGCTTCCGGCTCTCCTACCTCCTCCGGCCAGCCGGGTCGCGTCCACACACAGCCTTGAGCCCCAGCAGCCCCAGTTACATGGTGTGTCCCATGCTGTATCGGTGCAAGCCATCTGGCTGCGGTCTCGGGTGTGCTGGCATGGAGGAGACGCTCACACCAGCCGCTCACGTCTGCAGGCGCGGGCACGTGAAGGTGCATCCCCGTTCCCCGGGCCTGGAGCGAAGCATCCTTCCAGGGCTTTCTCTGGGCGCCGCCTCCGGCCTCTCTTGCCAGCAGCGAGGTTTCCATTTTTCTTGGCAAATGAAACAGAAGATTGGGATCGTGGTTGCATCTAAGCGGGGATGCTGCCCGCCGTCCGAGGTACGAGGCGTCTCTTGCCGGCTGTATCAGCAGGAACGGGGGAGAGAGCGGAGGGTCGGCTCTCCGCGGAATTCATGTTCGAGCGCTGCCGTCCGCCTTAAAGGATTAATTTCACAAGCCTTAAACTGCAGTTTAATTTGAAAACTAATTCAGCCCCATAATTGGCTTTCTGCTCAAATCACTGAGGCTAAAGATTTAAATTCTTAATATTCAGATGACTTTCAAGTATCTGGCACCATCTGAGCACTAGTCCGTGGCATTCGTCTCGGCAAGACCTCCGCCGGCACCGAAATAAAATAAATAAATGGGCCACTGATGGAATAATCTATTTGAGCAAAAACTCTGCATTATCTAGACGAAGGTTTCTCTCACTTCATTTTCAGCATATAGATTTCTCTGCTATTTCATATTTTAAGGTGACATTAGTTTCAAAATTTATAATATAGGCCCTCACACAGTTACAAGGGGTTAGGGAAATCAGGATTTCCAATTAAAGCCTTTTTTAGTTAAAAGACGATCACGGTGGAATATTACCCTTTCCTTGCGAGGTTCAAGAAGCCCGCCTGGGAGGGCTGATGGCCAAGCAGCTCAGAGCTCCAGGCCTGTCCCGAGTACCGGGTAGCCTCCAGAGAGTCAGGGGAGGGTTGGGGGTCCATGGAGTCCCGCCCTCGTCTGGGTGACAAGAACTGACAGGATCTCTGCCCAGTGCTACAAGCCGACCAGCAAACCAAGTAACTAACTCAATGAGTAATGGGGGATGGATGGGAGGCAGGCAGGGCAGACACCTGAAGGAGTGATATGTGAGCTGAGGGAGCATCCATGGGCCTGGACATCCGGGCTGAGGGCAGAGCATGTGCAAAGGCCCTGAGGCAGGAAAATGCTTTCCTTTCCCAGAGGCCTGGGATGTTTGCTTCTCTGCCTTTGCCAGGGCGTGCCTCTGTATCCCTTGTTGGCACATAGGTAGTATATAGATTTCTGGGTTCCTCAACTAGACGATGGACTCCTTGAGGGTGGGGTTTATACAGAGAAAGGCCCTCTCACATACAACGTGCTTTTCTGTGGGGACACTGCCCATGCTACATTCTGTCCTTCTCCTCTTTCCATCTCCTTCCTTCCGCCTGATAGTGGATGTGATGCTTGGAGGTGCAGCAGCCATCTTGTGACCATGGGGTGAGAAACCAGAGAAGGAGGCATGGACAGCTTCAAGCTCTCCCCCAAATCCCTACTGGTATAAGCTGGGTTTTCTGTGACTTGCGACCAAACGCCTTCCTGACACAGACTGGAGACAGGAAGCAGTTTGTACCATGGTTAGCACCGTGGCTTCGAGCCAGACCGCCTGGGTTTAAATCTGGCCTCCTTTCTATGCCTTTGTTCCCTTATCTTCAACGTGGGAGAAGAAAAGTGCTTATGCACTTATGGCACAGAAGCACGCATGTACATGCCTGTGCGGGCACACGCAGGTCAGCCGGCTGACGGGTGAGTGAGGTCCGTGCTTCGCGTCACTGTCACTGTTCTGATGCGGTCACGCAGGATGGTTCCCGCCGGCGGGAACAGGTGTCTCTACTATTTCTCACAGCCGTGTATGGTGCCCACCTGCTGTTTGCTCCTACCTGGTGTCGAGCCCCCTTTGCTGGAGCAGTGATCTGGTTTTCCTTGGGGGAGCCACGCCAGCCACAGGCTCAGACCCTGTGACCGGGGGGGTCTAGAACTGGACTCTGTCTGTGCCTGACGGAGGCTCGCAGTCCGTGCCCTGGCCGTGGAGACCAGCCAGGCCAGATCATGGGGTCTCCCAGGCCCCTGCTGGTCTCCAGCAAGAAGGGGTCCCTCTCCCAGGGCTGTCCGTAGCACACGGTCACGCCACAGCTGCTGAGGCGTCTTGTCCACAGCGTCCTTGAGACCGAGCCGGCAGCAGAGGGGAGAGTCGGACCGAGGTAAGCAAGGCCCTGGCCCGTCCCACTCCAGCCCTAGCACGCGAGGTGCTGCCCGTCTCTGCACTTGGCTGTTATGTGAGCCAATGTGTTGCCTTTCCCAGGGGGGTTTTGAGGTGGGTTTTGGAGACCTGGAGATCTAACAGCTGAGATCAGAGCAGCGGACACTCTTGGCCCCAAACCTCAATGACCATGTCTGTGCCAAACGGGACGGGCCACCCTACGGCTCTCATGCCCTCAGAGCTGGTCTCATCCAGCAGCAACAAAGAGGATTTCATACCACAGTGAGACACCAGGGCTGGGGAAAGAGGGTGGGCGGGATGTGGGCTCTGCCAGGGACCCCAGCCCTGAGTCACTGTGCTACTGTCCCCAAATGAAGTACCCTAACCTTAAACGTTTTCCTGGGTGAGTCAATATTGAATACCTCTTTCTGTTTGTTTTCCCTTAGAATGTGCACCTGAAACCCTTCCTCAGCCCGTCATGCCAGAGAATGATGACTAATTTCTGGTGATAGGTTCTCCTTACCCTGCAAAGGCGCCGTGTGAAAACTTCTATTACGGTGATGCGCTGCTGGAGGGCAGGGCCTGGCGGAGACTGGCTCCGAACCCCAGGGGCCCTGTCCCGGGAGGCCCCGATGTGCTCTGTCTGGGGCCACCTTGCCTCGGCCAGGCTTTCCAGGGAGCAGCAAGCGTGGTGTCGCTCCGTCCCTGGCGCTATACCAAGCCGTGGCGTCCCCATTCTGCTCTGAGGACTGTCCCGGGATCAGAGGCAGAAGCCGGGTCCCTTGAAAGTCTGCACCTCGTGCAAACAGTGCATGAAAGACACAGCAGGGAGCGGGAAAAGAGGACCCGTCCCGGGATCCACACGGCCTCCCAGGCTTCCGGGCCGTGCTCGGCATCCCCCCGTGGCTCTGTGGAGCTGGGACGATGGTGGGGGTGGGGTGGGGGCGCTGCTCCAATCTCCAGGCTTAAAGGCTTATCAGGATTTTGAGGAGACACAGCAATTTGCTGCTTTTGTTTTCCTAATGAGTAAAGTCGGTTACACATTTGGGAAGATTTGTTTTAAAGTAAGACATGGGAGGTTTGATTTGTTATATCCAGGCACCTTCACAGAGTGTGCTGGGTCGTGGGGACAGAGGCCCACCGTATCTGCTTAACAAGAAAGCCCCCCCATTGCCCGACCCCCACGCCCCCACCCCGGCTGCCTAGGGACCAGCTGCGTGGAGCTAATTTGCCCGCCGGCCGCCTGTCCCTGCTCCTCAGGGACCTTGGGGAGGAGCTGCCCGAGGCACAGGCCAAAATAATGTCACCTCCCGTTCCCTTCAGCGACACCAGGCCGGCTGGCATCTCGTGGTTCGAGACAATCAATCGGAAACACAATTCACCTTGTAGAGAAGGCTGCCCCGGGGACGCAGCTATGACAACCTGCTCCGGGCAGAGAGAAACTCTTGCCTGGCTGCCTCACCGTGGCCGTGACCAGCCCCTCAGAGCACGGTGCTGCCCCTGGGGACGCGGGAAGCCGGCTGGACTCCAGGCTCCGGGTGCTGGAGCGCCAGTGTGCCCAGAGCCACCGGCCTTCCCAGGGGCCCGGGCGCCCTCTGGGGACGGGGTTCTCGCAGGCTGCCCGGGCGGGGTCGCCGCTGAAGTGCAGAGGACCTAAAGGTCACGCGGCGGTGGCCGTTGCTCTGACCTGCCTGTGCCACCCGCGTCCTGCTTCCCAGTGGCTCTTCCTGGAGGCCCCGGGGGGTGCTCGGCTCAGCTCCACCTGCCCAGCCCCGGCCATGGACGCCGCCCATGCCCGCAAGAGACAGCCGTGCTGGGCTGTGCGGCTAGAACTGGGGCAGAAAACCGTCCACACCCACGTCCCACCTACGACACCGAGTCCTGGGTCAGGGGCGCCGAACGCGTCTAGATTTCTGACACGTTCCCAAGGGCTGCCGCTGCGCCCCAGGCCTGGGCTAGCCTCAGCTGGGGGTGCTGCCGCCCCCACCTCCCGGGACCTGAGGCCTGTCTCCGCTAAGGGGGACGGGGAGGGGCCCGCTTCCGGCAGACGGCTTAGCGGGGCTGCGGCGCAAGCACGTGGCCAACGTCACTTTTGCCAAACTGAAGTCTGGGGACACCGGCCCTTAGGTCAACTCTGAGGGGAACTGAGGCCTGCGGGTTTGCAGGCTCACCTCTTGGGGCCGCGGGGGTCTGGCCTCCTCGTGGGCTTCCTACGAAGCTTGGAATAAAATGGAAGTGTGGCGCCAGTGACTTTGGATGTCAGGTCTTCTCTCCGACCCCGTCTCCCACCCCAGGACCTCTGTCCACACCTTTCCCTTCCCCACGCCCCTTCCAACCACTCCCCCAGACTTTCTCTCCAAGCCGCTCCTTGTCATACCCAAGCTCTCGGCCTACAGGTCACCTCCACAGAGGGGCCCTCCCTGATCTACAGGCGCCTCCATGACTCTCAGCACCCCGGGACCCTTCTGAGCCTCACTGTCCGTGACGGGGCTTTACGTAGTTGCTTTTGCTGACTTCTGTCTGCGTTCCCCTCTGCACCGAGGGGCCCGTGACACAGGGCCCGACTCCCGGGGGGCATGCGCGGCCTGCGGCAGGCGTAAGGCAGTAACCCGTGGACGGGCGCCTCCGTGGGTGGGGGAGGCTCCTGGGGCCGTCTCGGCTCCCCGAGCAGGGGCCCCCTTGACGACTGGCTGCCCCCTGTTCGCCGCTCCTCAGGGGTCGGGGGCTCACCTGGCTTGGAGCCCTCGTCCACGGAGCCGTTGTAGACCTGGTTGATGAACTCGGGGCGGTTGTCGTTCATGTCGATGACGTAGATGTACAGGTCGATGGGATTCTCCACCTTGTTGCCATTCATGTCCACCGCGTGGGCTCTGAGCTGGAAGGTGGCACAGACATGGTCAGCCTGGGGACGGCCCGGGACAGGCACCCGCCGGCCCGCAGCTCTGGGCTGGTGCTGACGTGAGGGCCTGGGCCCCTCAGGGGACCGTCTTGGCAGGGGCCGGGCCTGGAACGCGCCACGACACTCTTCTGAGCCTCGGGGCTCCCTCTGAGGAAACAGGGAAGGGCTGTGAGAGGACCCTCGATATTTGGATTTTTTTTTTTTTTGGTAAAGATTTATTTATCCATTTGAGAGAGAAAGAAAGCAAGCAGGCAGGAGCAGAGGGGGAGGGAGAGGGACGAGCAGACCCTTCACAGAACGCAGAGCCCGATGTGGGGCTCAAACCCAGGACCCTGAGGTCATGACCTGAACTGAAACCAGGAGTCGGACGCTTCACCGGCTGAGCCACCCAGGCACCTGATTGTTTGGATTTTTCATTCATTCACTCATTCGCCATTCATTCATTAATTCACTCACTCAAGCGGTATCTGTCAAGCATGTCTGTGTACCAGGCACCAGCTGGGCCCCTGCTCTGTGGCGCAGACACGACCCAGCCCTGGAGCTTCTCATGGAGAAGGGAGAGGGACGCCAAGAAGGAAGAGAAGGTACAGGGAATTGGGTGAACTGGTGGTGACTGGCTGGGGCTGGGAGGAGGCCAGGCAGGCTTCTCAGAGGAGGTGACGTTTGAGCTGTGGCCTGACGAACGGGACAGGGAGAAGAACAGGCGTGAGGTCCCACGGGGGACACGGAGTGGCTGAGGTGCGGGGGCAGCAGCGGGGGCTGGAGAGGGTCATGCGAGACCTGGGATTTGGGGGAGAACCGAGGGCTGGAAAGGGGTGGGGTCTGCCCAAGGTCTGCCCACGCCAGAACTGTGACTGTCCCACATCTCTCTGCTGACACCTGGTCTCCTTCAGCTGCGCACATCGGACCTCGAGGTCTGTGCCACAAGACAGCGCCACGCCAAGGGTGCGAGTGGAACGTACGCTTGAGGCCTGGGGTGAGAAGTGTCTCGGGCTGGGGGTCTGCACGATCCTCGTGTCATGGCCGCTCTGCCAGCCTCTGGGAAGGGGGAGGAGGAGGCCGCATCCCACACCTGCCCCCGGGAGGCTCTGGCCAATGGTGTCCACACCAGCCTGGCCCCGAGTGCAAGTTTACCCTTGAAGTGGGGTGTTTGAGGAGAAGCTGGAGGCCGGCTTCCTCTGGAGGAGGCCTGATTTGTGGCAAGGACACAGATGAGCCCAGTTCCCGGGGGGCCTCAGCCCGTGTGCCAGAGGTGACCGCACACTTGGTGCCTTGGCTCCAAGCAGAGAGCAGAAGGGCCGTGACGCGCCCCTCGCTGTTTCGGCCCCCGCCCCCCGCC